TTTATTAAATAATTAATATAATTAAAAAATAATAAAAATAATTTTACAAATTCATTCAATTTTACTCATATTCTTAATTTTTTTTTAAATTTTTAAATTTCTCTATCCATATTTTTTTCTTTTCTCTGCTGTACTTGTATTGTGAAATTATAAAAAGTAAAGTTTTTTATTTATTTATTTATTTATATTATTATTTATATTTATTTTTTTTAATTCTATTCTATTTGTTCATATATTTTAAGTTTCTATAGATTTTCTCTTTTAAATTTCTACGAATCATCAACCATATTTTTTTTATTATGTAGGTTATATCTCCTACTTGTCATGATTTTTTATTTTTTATTATGTGAATTTTATTTTTAATAATTTTAATTTTTAAAAATTTAAAAATTATTATTTATGTAATTTTCAAATATAAGTTCTAGTGTTGCATTATTAGTTCTTGTTTAAAATATCACTAATATATTATTTTTATTAATCCTAATTATATAAAAAAAATTATTTTGAGTATATGTTTTTAATATATTTTACGTTTTATATTTAGTTGAAAGGAAATTATCTTGAGTATAAGAAGAAATTATTAATTATGTATATCATATTTAATTATTTATATATTATACATTCTAATTTAATATTTAGTATTATAAACTTAAATATAATAAAATAAAAATATTAGATGTTGACTATATTAATTTTTTAATCGTTTATATTGAGAAAGATAAAATTTTGAAACAAAATGGATGATAAGTTTGTTTATAAATAATTTAGTTATTTATATTAAAAAAGATATTACTAAACAAAATTTTCTTAAAACACTATTAAAAGTTTTTTTTTATTTTTTTATTTACATGTTATATAAAATTATTATCTATTATAAATATTTTTTATTATTAATAATTAAATTTAATATATTAATTTTAAAAATTTTTAACTTTTATTTTTTTTTAACTTTTGATCTTCTTAATAAAAATTGATTAACTCTGCTTCTGATTTTAACTGTAATTGAATTTGTCAACATTTGCTTCTTGACAGGGAAGAGGTGGCTGAGTATTGCACTCGTGTTAGAGGTTTAGTGCTAAGGCTGCTTGAGGCCATATCAGAGAGCTTAGGCCTGAAGGGGGATCATATTGATAAGACATTAAGCAAGCATGGCCAACACATGGCTTTAAACTACTATCCACCCTGTCCAGAGCCAGAACTTACTTATGGTTTGCCTGGCCATACTGATCCCAATTTAATAACCATTCTTCTTCAGGATGACGTGCCAGGATTACAGGTTTTAAGAAATGGCAAGTGGGCTGCCGTCAACCCTATTCCCAACACCTTCATTGTCAACATCGGTGACCAAATGCAGGTGAACTTCACACGCCTTGTTTGTTCAAAAAATCATAGGCCAAAATTGGACAGGATGGAGGAAATGGACTTGCCAGCCCAACATGTTAGAGGGTGTCAATTAGCATCTAGCACGCCAGACTGAAACTATAAAAGTTCCCCCTTGATTGAATGTTTATCTGCATCATCTAAAAGATGCATTTAAACAGCTCTAGTACAAAAAGTCACATTAACAATTGTTATAATTATACATTTGGCAGGAGAGACTAACCTCAACACTGAACGAAAAGAATGTCAAACCACCTACACCAGGCCCAACTGCATTTAAATTGTCCCTACTTTCGTACATTTGGTCTAACCTTAGCGAAGAAGACAGATTGGAACTGTTGAACTTTGACAGTGGACACTATTGTGAAGAGATAACAATTACTAAGTTCAAGTTATTTTCACCTAGATTTTTTAAGAATACCATATCTTGTTAGGTGGTCATAGCAGTGTATGTAGGTGCAGAACATAAGGAGTCAACCGTGATTGTTACTTATAACCAAAAAACCAAGGCGACTGCTGCCCTGGATGAGCATAAAAATCCTAACGAAGTTCTAATTTCTGTGATAGGTAATTAGCAATGATCGTTACAAAAGTGTGCTCCATCGAGCTGTTGTAAACTGCAATAAAGAACGAATATCCATCCCTACCTTCTACTGTCCATCAAATGATGCTTTGATAGGCCCGGCTATGGAGTTGATTGATGATCAGCACCCTGCAGTCTACAGAAGTTTTACCTATGGCGAATACTATGAGAAGTTTTGGAAGAGAGGACTTGCAACAGAATGCTGCCTGGACATGTTCAAAACTTCAACAACTTGATCTATTGTCAAGATTTCCTATTTCACATTAAAGTTGAGACTTCCACGTCTTTAATTAAGTTCAATGTTTGGCATTTCACCATTTGGTATACAATTCCAACTTTGCAAACAATGAATATCCTGATACCTTGAATAGCTGATTAAAATCTGTCTAGATCGATGGAGAAAAGTCAAGCAGTCAAGCATAAGGCGGCTTGGAATTGACAATTTGAAATTGAAACTATGACAAAAGAAGGTCATTTCAAATCACTGAACCGAAAGTTCATCATTTGCGCTTAGAAAATTAAAAGAAATAAGGTTGAATAGTCGTCTGTAAAGCAAATATAAAACCGAAACTGGATGTAAAAAGGCGACAACTTCGGTCTGCGAGACCTTCAACGACGTTGTGGTACCTTCACCTGATTCAATTCAAGACACCATGAATAATAAGGAAAGCCAAGCGAGAGTATCAATAGATGAAGAAGACAAACAGGCCCAGCAGTATGCCATGCAACTGGTTAGCGCATCGGTGATGCCCATGGTATTGAAAGCAGCTATTCAACTTGGTGTGTTTGAGATTATACAGAGGAACGGTCCTGGTGCGCTGCTCTCAGCTTCCCAGATTGCATCCCAGCTTCCGACTCAAATTAATCCTGATGCCCCTTTGATCCTTGATCGCATCCTCCGGCTTCTAGCTAGCTACTCCATCCTCACTTTCTCTCTTGTCACTGACCACCAGGATGGCCAGGTTGTTAGGCTCTATGGTTTGGCACCAGTTGCCAAATACTTCAACAGGAGCCAAGGTGGAGGATCTTTGTCTTCTTTGTTAGACTTGTTTCAGGACAGAGTCTCTTTAGATCTCTGGTAAAACACTTTGAGAATGCCTATTGCCTCCAATGTTGTTTTCATCACTGCTTTATATGTTGCGATTTCATTTCTCAAAATATTTCACGGTGAAATCAAAACAGGTACCACTTGAAAGATGCTGTCGTAGAGGGGTGGTGTCCATTTAAGGAACATGGGATAAGTTCCCTTGAATATATGGGGAAGGATGCGAGGTTTGGAGAAATCTTCAGGGGCTCTATGATAGATTTCAACGGTATGTTTGTGGAAGAGATGCTGAAAACATACAAGGGCTTTGAAGGCTTGAATTCCTTGGTTGATGTAGGCGGTGGCAATGGGTCTATCCTCCACAGCATTGTTTCCAAGTACCCTGCCATTAAGGCTATTAATTTTGATTTGCCACAGATTATTGAAAATTCACCCTCCTATCCTGGTATGATCATTCTACAAGTTGCATATAGTGATATCAAGCATCTAGGATATATTAATTTAGACCAAATAATATTTGGCGTTGGTCTGATGTCTGAACAACTGCTTCGTTTCCTCTCACAGCTCTGTTCTGTTCAAAGCATTTATATAACCTTCAATTCATCATTTCCCCTGCTTTCTTATACACGCCACTTCTATTTCCATTAAAGGAGTCCGAGCCTCCGGGTTGAGCTCCCTTAAAAACCTTCAGCCTTCAGCTACAAAAAAGAGAACTGTAGAGTAACACTTGCTATTGAACTAACAATTTACAACTCCTGATAAGTCGTTAGATAAAATTGTTCTAAATGTTTGGCGATTAATAAATTTAATTGTGTTGTAGGCATTGAGCATGTGGCAGGAGATATGTTCGACGGAGTACCAAAAGGAGACGCCATTTTCATGAAGGTTAGGTTTTGACGATCATTATTGCCTTTCCCTTGCATCGTACTTCACATAACTAAAGAGCCCTCATGAGTAATATCACTTCAACAACCCAAGGAGTTATTGACTAACACGGGATTTTTGCAGTGGATAATCCATTGTCTGGACGACAAGAAATGCCTGGAGTTACTTAAGAACTGCTATGAAGCGTTACCGGCCAATGGGAAAGTGATAATAGTGGAATTGGTGATCCCTGAAAGTCCTGATAGTAGCCACGTAGTTAAAAGCGTATATCAGTTTGAATCGTTCATGATGAACTTAAACGGAAACCAAAAGGAAAGGACAGAAACAGCATTCGAGAGCTTGGCGAAAGGAGCAGGCTTTTCACGTGTTCAAGTGGCTTGCTGCGTCTGCAGTTTTTCAGTGGTGGAGTTGTATAAAAGCACGTGAGATTTATTTGGAAAAATATTGTTAATTGTGCTTTGTTACTAACTAGCGAACATGATAAAACACTGGAGTGAGACTTACAATAAAATGTTCACCATACTTCCATTCTCATCTTGTACTATTGAATATCATACATATATAAGCCCTATTTTCATGGAAATTTACTAGTACCTCTTTTCCTAACTGTATATAAACTTAGTTTTTATTTAAAATAAAGGGCTTCAGCCCAAAATACATTAAGATATTGCCAGAAGAGAGTGAGCTGATTGTGAAAGCCCACTGGCCTGCGGATCACCCTCCCAACAATTTGCTAGGTAATGGGAAATTTGCTAACACGAGATGCATATATCACGAAAAAAGTGCTCTATCTTACATCATACAGGAATGAAAAGTCCTGAACTCTTTGTGTACTGCACACTCCCATAAACGTATTTATGAAAAAGAGAGTAATGACCCCGTGACAAGTAGTATCAGAGCGGATTGGACCTCGTCTGATTCACGCCAAGCGCCCGAACCCAAGGGAACTCAGGGTAGGCAAGGTGGTCGACCTCAATGAGGATGTTGCCGGAATAGGGTGGGAGAAAGTGTCGGCGGGTGTACTGCACACTCCCATAAGCGTGTTTATGAGGGAGAGAGTAATGACCCCGTGACACATAGACATGGTTGGGTAGACAAGATAAAGCAAACCAAGAAATTATATAATTTTCCATCTACACATGTATATATTTAAGTAATATGAATCAGCAGAAGATATATAGCTAATGCTATATTTAATTGCCAATGAATTGAACTCTTAAAAGTAAACCAGCCAACAACAGTAAAATTACAAAACTTACTGCCTTATGGATTACTGGCGCTCTATTTGAATAGTCACATGACTAATATTGTATTCTCTCCTGATATAATCTATAACCTTGTTCAATACCATGTCAGCATCAGCTTCATGCTTAATTAAGACATGGCAAGCTAATAACACCTTACCAACAGTTATGGCCCAAATGTGCAGTTCATGTATGGCAACAACCTCATCCATCTCACATAAACCCTTCTCAAGCCTTGTGGCATCAATTTCACGGGGTGTGCTCTCCATAAGAACTTCCAGAATATTTCGCAGCATCCTGATGGTAGTTCCAAGCACAACAACGGAGAACACAAGGGTGCATATCAGATCAATAATTTTCCACTCTGGTTTATACCAAATAATTGCTCCACCAATCATCACTCCAACACTCTGAATGGAATCCCCTAGGACATGAAGATAAGCCCCTTGTACATTGATGTTTCTTACCTTCTTCCGAGGTGCACCACTTTCTAATTTTTTTTCACAATCAGAGTAGTTCTTAATCAGAGGCACAGTGTGGTCAGCTTCACGAGTATGATGATGCTCATCATGTTTAGAGTTTGAGCCATGATGATGATGGTGAGAAGTTATACTTAATCCATGATTATGTGTTTCATTGTCATGGGTATGACTGTGATCATGGTGGTCGTGATCATTCCTGCCATGGCTATGATTATGGTCATGGCCATGGTGATGGTGATGACCATGATCATGACCCAACAGGAGAGCCATAGCAATATTAACCACTAAACCAAATGCAGAAACCACGAACATGAGAAAGCCTTGAACTTCACCATTATCATGGATAAGTCTATCTATGGCTTCATAAACAAGGATGCCAGCTAGAAGCCATATCATCTGGATGGACACAAGGGCACCAAGAATTTCAATCCTGAAGAACCCATAAGATTGACGTGGAGTTGCCTCCCACCCTGATGCCCAAAGAGAGAACAAGGAGATTGCAAAGGCTGCAACATCTGACAAGAGATGAGCTGCATCAGTTAAGATTGCAAGACTGTTGGCTTTAATTCCTCCAGCTACTTCTACACTCATAAAGACAATGCAGAGCACTACTGCCATCAAAAGTTTCCGCATAGAGGCTGCACGTTCCTTTGCGTCTTTAGAACTAGTTTGAGCATCAGAAAATCCGCATGCTGCACCTCCACAAATCATACTTCCACCCAGGCTTGTCCCTGCAGCTGGCACATCTCCACGAATTTCAATTATGTTGCATTGTTCAGAATTTTGCACTTCCATCTGAAAACAATATAAACAACCACGAGGAAGAATAATTTATTAAATCCACAATACAAAAAGGCAAAATGAATTGGGTGAATCAACAAAATGATTAAGATAGGTTAAAAATCTTGTGTCAGTGAAATACTGCATTATTTACACTTCTAAAAATCTTGCTATATCTCTCATCAAACCCAGCCATTCTCTCTTAGCCTTCTCCTTTCCCACTCTTTCCCATCATATGATCAAATGGTACCTTGACCATAACGTATAAGTGCCCAGAAAAAGTTTCAACATGTCACCATTTCTTTAACCAAAATGCAGCACTACATAAACACTCCATCATCTAATACCCTCATTATGCGTCTTACACACAATTGCTTCAGTGTAAGAATTTCCATTACATATGGCAACACAATTTAATTAAAATGTAGCAAAATTTGCAATCCTAGCTAGTGATTTATGTGTTGGAGGAATCAAGAAACAGCAAATCACCATCGTCACTGCCAAGTCATTGTACATACTAAAGTTGGCAGGGAAAATTGCAAAAGTTGGGGAAAGTTGCAGAGATGCAGGTGACAGGCAAAAGGGAAACTCTTATCAGATTCGATACATATTGCATTGGTGTTTCTCTTTCTTTAAAAGACAGCCACACATATTTAGCCTCAAAAGCCTTTTATTAAAACAGGGGACAGAAATAAGAGAAAAGGAAGACTTTAAGTCTGAGGATTCTAGAATTATAAAAAATAAAAATCATTCAAACAAACTCAGCTCCATACATCACAATTGCAACCCACATCTTATTTGAATCAGTAGAAACTTCACAAGGGAATTTTCTATACATATTTTCACACTCATGCATGCGTACATACACCCATAAATATACTTGTATGTATATATGCTTGTAGCAGTTCTAAATTCTAGAATCAAACAAAGATAAGCAGAGATTACAAAAGATGATTATTCAGAATCAATTTCAAAGGGAAAAAAAATTCACTTATCACATTAAAATTAAGAATTTTCAAAAGAATCAGTTGAGTTATTAAATAAATGAAAACAGAATTACCTTCCGTAGTTGCTCCTCCTCGTTTTCAATTGCTCAACCTTCTTTGATAACTAAATCCCTAAACGCAAGGTGAAAAAGTTACGTTTGTCTTTCTTTTTTTTTTTGCTTATCACTAAGATACCGTAAATAATGAAAATGAGAAACCATTAAAAATCGTAGTTTTTGTCTTGGCATTCAAAGAAAAACCGGTTTGACTGGAGACTTCGAGAAATCGCCTTTGTGACAATGGCTTCTTTTTTTCTTTCAAAGATCTGGGAAAAGTAAAATTAAAACAATAGGACGAAGAAGAAAACCCCAGAATCCAAACACATTCAACGGAATAAAACCAAATTAAAAAAAAAAAAAGAGAAGGAGGAGGAGGAGATAAGGCACCTTTAATTAGAGGAAGCGTAGAGGTTCTGAAAGTAGCCAGTGGCAATGGCTCCACCAGATTGAGAGGTTAATTGCAATAAATGCCAAGAAGAAGAGAGAAGGGAGGAGCAATTTGTTCCAGGAGAAACAGAGGCTGGAATAAATTACTTTAGTATAGTAACAATTTATTTATAGATTGGAGTAGCGCTATGCTTTTAGCTCCACAATTTTGCCGTTATTTTTATATTCTCTCTCTCTCTCTCTAGGGTTTCATAGCAATGATTGGGCTTGAGAGTATATGCTAGTATTGAAACCTCTTGTTTGGTAGTCATTCATTGCAGCCCTGTCAACAACATTACGATTTTATCCTTTTACCCCTATTGTTGCCCTTTCCCTCATTTTTCTCTCGAGGTCTTTTTTGGTAATGTAAGTCGGAATATTCTTCTCTTCCTATGGTATAGATTTTTCAACCTTGTTTAATTATCAACTTTTCTTAGATACGTTGTGTTTAGGATTTATCATGTAAATGCAAAATCCTAATCAAAAACTAACATCTAAGAATGCATTGAATATTCATATATTCTTCTACTTTTATTGCCAAAAGAGTAAAAGATGTCAAAATAAGTGTTTTTAATTATTGTTATAATGATAATAAGGTGGCGGAATGTATCAATGTCGGGTCAGAATAAAAAATATAAACTTTACCGAGATAAGATAAGGAGAAATTCCTGCAGAATATTGAAAGCACGCGACTGACAGATGTGGAAAGCTTTTCGATAATTGGTGGCGTACGACACTCACTGGTGGTGACAGCGCTCTCCAATTCGGAAATTGCTTTTCTCGAAAACTGACCATAATTACTTTTTTTTTGTCACACTTAACACGTGTCTAAATCTGCGTCAAGACTCAAGAGTGCTGAATGCCCCCTAAAAGATTCAGTATCTCCATTGACGACGCTGGTTAAAATGCTGATTCCACCGTATTAAGATATTTCTTCCTTGCATTAAAATACTTTATGAATGCATTCTTTCAGAGTTAAGAAATGACAGAGAATTATTAGTAGCAGCATCATACCATGGAGGAAAATTTCAGTTGAGGACCACAAGCGGTGGAAAAGTGGAGCCCCACTACAAATCACAGAAACTGGTGGGTGGTGGCAACAGCCAACAAGGTTACTGCTTAATGCTTATGGCGGAGCTTATAACGTTAAACGGTTCCGTTTCCACAAAATGCACCGAAGCTCACCTAAACCGGGCCTGGAGGCATGGGAATTGGAAAGAGATTTTCCAATAAGAAATCGTCATCAGTCAGATACTACACTTCTGTACATTACCCAAGAAGACCAAAATTGAATGTATGATTATTACACATCAGGATTTTCAATGAATTTCTTACACAGGTGAGATACGAAATGGTAATAGTAAATAATGCTACAGATGATCATGATGACAAAGTAGGCGACTACACCAGTTCCTTCTTTTTTGGTACAAGAATGGGTGGGTCGACATCAATTCCCATATTAGCAGCAGTGCCAGCTATGATTCTCATAGCTGACTCAATACTCGTACAATTCAGGTCAGGTAGCTTTTCAGTAGCAATGGCACGTACTTGGTCAATGGTGACCTTCCCCACCTTCTCTTGCTTTGGGTCTTTTGAACCTTTCTCCACTCCTACATCACCAGACATTATAATCAAACATTCAAACTGCATTATTTTTCAAAGATGGATATCTTCTTCGTTTTTCCACGTGGGAACAAATGGTCTATAGTATTTATCCTCCTATGTCTTCCATCAATCATAATTTGATACTAACAGACTCATCTTTATGGATAGGTTAAGTAGGCATGTAATCAACTATGTACAATAACTATTTCAGGGCTGTTAAAAACTTTCATTCATCTTGACCCAACGCTACACACTTAAGATGATCGACCAAAATGTACAATGTCTGTATGACTTACAACTTGTAATCTGATCATAAATTTACTGGCCGTATGGGCCACAGAATGAAGATAAATCCATTGACAAGCAAAGGATCAGCACTGTTGCAAGGTCTATGTTCAGAGAATCAATTCATATTAACATCAAACAAAGTTTGGTTTCGCTTTAGTCAAGCAAATTTACTACAATAGAAGATTAGGCTCTAATTGGAAATCAAACAAAGTACCACCTGTTTCTAAGTTTACTTTTACTTTGACATGATCCAAGATTGCATTTATTACCAATTAGAACAATTAACATGAAGCAAGGTGTGTTTAGCTGACAGTGCATATCAATATGCAACTATAACAAGGTTTACTTAGAGGGAGAAGATTGGTGATATCTACATGGGTACTATCTCTGAGCATCAGCAACAATGTAAAACATCTTTATACAATTTCTCCTTCTCTCACTCAGCATTCAGCATAAAGAGCCCAGCAAATGACACAATGTATTTTTTTTGCTCCAAGATGCAAATAAATCTCAGATAATCTAGCTGAATATAAATTCAAAATACAAAATAAGGACTGAATTAAAAATGTTATCATGGTGACACCTGGACATTTGAAATTTTCACCATATTTGGAAGTATAACATCTCTGTTGCTATCTAAAATTTTTTTGATTCCTGCTTCTTTGTCATTCCATGAACCTAAATCTCAACACAATTACTAATGCTGTTCAACTCAGTGCTGTGAACTGAATGTCAAAGAACCGTGCATAACACAACTATTGGTTGCAGTTAACTATTATCCCAAGACAGATTTTCAAGTTGCATACAAAAACACCCACCATTGTTTTACCAACTGCATTTTAATCTATAATAACATGAGTAACATCACGTATTTTGAATTAAAGGTATTTAACTTCCCAAAATGCCTGAGCACTAATTATTGTGCAGAGTCACTGTTAACAACTTGGTATACACATAAACTTGTAGATGTTTAAGTTGCCAGACCATTCAAAAAATTGGTGGATTCAAACCCCTTAAAGAACAAACTTCCCACAATAACTGGGTTCAACTATTTTACCGAGAGCAAGAACCTAAATTCAAGGAAAATCAGTTGGATGGGAGTTGGCAAAAGTTTATTGATAAAGGATCAGATTATCAAGTTTGGTTAAGACAGTAACTCAATTGAACGGGGGACAAAGATTAGAAGTCCATTTCTTCTATACTTGTACAATGCCAAGTCAATAATCTGTTGTTATATTGATAGAAGGATATCTGTAATTGTACACGAAACAGAAACACTAGCCCCCACATGCTTCATAACAATAATACTAGGGTCAGCAATGCCAACATAAAACCTTGGATTGGGAACTGTTGCTGCAGCTCTGTCAAGAAGAGCAACAATGAAGGTTATGTTGCACAGACCGGTGATACAGCCAAGACGAAACTTGGACATCTCTTTGAAATAAGTCGTTGGGATAAGGGATCAGGTTATCAGTTTACATTAAGTCAATAATCTGATATTCTGATTTCAACAATTCTTATGCACTTGTATCATGTGAAGACAAATGTTTCATACTTTCTGCGTTCTTGTTTAGGGGATCATGTTCAATTAAGAGGCCACCATCAATGTGAAAAACTTTGTAGCCAAAAAAAAGAAAAATCAAGCATAACGTATGGGAAAAGCCAATACTAAACCAGAAGACATGAGTTTTGGTTATCCCTCATATTAAATATCCAATGACCTCATGTATAAAGAAAATTAACGGTACAAATCTGATTACTCATTACTGAGTGATAATAAAGAAGTATACCTGCTGCCTTAAGTAACAGAACAGAAGCAGGGGGTGTCTTTAGAATGAAGGTGAAGCTTCTATCCTGGATAGCAATGAACAAAGGAATTCAGGCATATTCTTTACCAGCAGTTCAAAATTGAAGAAATAAAGAAAGAAACCCACATCGTAGACAGTAATTTCGACAGGGATAATGTAACCAGCTTTATCAGCAGTTCTAGCATTGTAATCCTTACAAAAGGCCATGATATTTACACCTTTTGCTCCAAGAGCCGGTCCAACAGGCGGCGCTGGTGTCGCCTTACCTGCCTCCAGAGCCAACTTTATCAATCCAACCACTGCAAAAGAAAACACACACAAAAAGCAAGAAATGTCAGGAAATACAGAATCGGGTATCAAAGGTAATGAAAGACATATACGTATTCGTATGAACCTTTCTTGGCTTTGCCGCCGGGTTTAGGAGGAGCCATGGCTATGACAGTTAAGAATCTTGGAGTAGAAGAGAGGAGAGGGGATTGTTTTTTGTTGAGGAATTGGAGCGAAATGTTGGGGTTTGAGGATAAGTTGATGGGGGAAGGAAAAAGAGTAGGGGAAAGCTTGGCATTGTCGATGTTCCCCGGACAAAGGGAAGAGCTGAGATGATGAAAAGTGGATAAAGAGGCTGCCATCGAGAGGGAGTGGCGAGGGAGGAAAGAGAGATGCGAAGGAAGAAAGAGAGTGAGGGGGTTTTTGGATAAAACCCAGAATCCTATCTTCAAAGACTTCAACCTGGGCCTCAGGTGGAACTCAATTAACGGGCCAGATTTCACTCAGACCAAACACTGCTCTTGGGCTCACTTCTTTTCTTTTGGGTCCTTACTTTTGGACTCACCGCTTTGGGCTTCATCCGTCCAATCTACAACAAAAGATAAATGAGGGGTGGGGGAGGTACCGTTGCATGTTTTCATTAAAATTTACTTTTTTTATAATATTTAAATCATGTCAAAAATAAAATAAATATAAGAAATAAATTTGAAATTATTTTAAAATAAATATATTATATATTTGATATGAAATATATTGTTTTGAAATATTTAAAAGATATAAAAAAACAAAACTAATAATAATACATATAAGAAGATTTTGATTTCGTCAAAATTATTACAGCTCTTGATATGATTTAACCACAGTCACAAAATCTTATTTCATAATAAATGGGTAAAAATTACTTTAAATATTTCAATTGAATAAATTTATCTTTTTTCTCTTAGTAAAATGGCTTTAAAATTGTTTAATTGAAACCGCTCATGACTTCTACAACAGATTTGCATACCGCAAAGGGTTTTAAAGGGCAATAAAAATATCACAGAAAGATGGTATGCTAGAGGTGTTTCTTTAATTTGGGTGAACGAGCATAATAGAGAGAGAACAAAATGGTTATTTCACGTGAAAAGAATAAGATAAAAATAATTATTATGTAGTTTGGTTAGTGAAATAAAATCACTATTATAACTCATTTCGATATTTTATTGATAAAAATAATTTTGAAATAACAAAAAAAAATGTGATATACAGATAAAAATATATTTTATTATAATTTGATTTTTAATTTAACATATTTATTTTTTAAAAATTTATTTAAAATATTAGTAAACTTTTATTTAAAACTTTAATATAATTATTTATTTTTTAAAATACTAATAATTTATAGTTTATTTAAAATATTAATAATTTATCATTAAAACATTAATATGATTATTTTATTCTTTATTTTTTATTTTTAAAATATTAAAAATTTAAAATTAATATTTTAATTTGTTTTTTAAAGTTAAAATATTAATATTTGATAATTTATAATGAAATCTTTTAAAATATTTTATTTTAAATTCATTTGATTTTTTTTTCTTCTCAATTGGTTATTGACGTAATGGAGCTATGGAGTATCTGGTCATTGGATCTGGTCATTGGATCACCAAATCAATGATTCTCACAATCAGGCTATGGAGTGTGAAATCGACATTTCTTTCAACTAAATCCGATTGTAGAGTACCAAATCAGCACTTTCCACTACCAAATTCGATCGTGGAGTGCAAGATCAGCACTTTCTATGACCAAATTTGATCATGAAAAGCATTAGTGCCACTGTCGCCTTTTGATGATGGAAAAAATTTAAAGAAAGAAGGAAAGAGACAGATGAGTAGAGAGAAAAAAATGTAAAAAATAAATAAATTTTATGATCTTATATAAATAGTAATTTTTAAAATTGGTTGAAAATATTGTTATTTAATAATTTTTTTAGCCTATTCCTGTACAATCAGAATAGCCATTGCAAAGGGATCGATAATGGCTTTTTCGACTTCTCTGATAATGAACATTTGGTGAACCAAACACAATCTCTATTCCATTCCCGGCCACGCAGTGAGGAAGGTTTAAAAGAGGGAAGATTTAAGAATGAAGCTAACTAGAAAAGGGTGAGACACCCCGCGGTTGTACAACTGGACTTCTCAGAGCAAAATTAATTATGAATCATGGGTTGTTTCTGCTTTTGTCGAGGAACATGATCATATATTAGGGCACTACAAGAGAAATGCCATATTTTACCAATCACAGAAAAATTGGTGAGTATTAACCTAATTGAAGAATTTAAAATATCCTTTTTTGTCTATTTACTATAAGCCCAAATTATTTTACAAGTATTTCAAAGCATTAAATTCTCTTTATCATGAATAAATGTCCACCAAAACAGATGAAAAGAAAATCAAGAAAATATTTACACTAATGCGTGACGGGTTGTACTAGATATGCGACCCAACCAAGGCAAAGATTAATGCACCAACATCTGGTCATATCATCTGCAAACTACAAGACTTTTAAGGGCCGCCAACTCCTATCAGAAAATTTGATCGCGTGAATTAGCATCAAGCTCTAATTATAACTTCAATAAAACGCCTTGAATAGAATTTGAATTACATATGCTTTAAGCATGCACTACCGAATAACTAATTATAGTATTAACCAAGAGTGGCAAGGTTGAAGACAATATTCAATGAGTACCACTACTTTTTTTTTTTTTAAAAAAAAAGTTAAATTCATTTCCATTGAAGAAGGGGTGATCCCCTTGTACAAAGAAGGGAAGAGGTCTAGAACTGAGGAGACATCAGCCTCAGCACTTTCTCAACATACTGGTTAGCAAAAATTGCCAGAATTTAGTACCCTATTTCGCCACACAAAAAACTATACAGTAATCCATTTACCCCTGCAATTAACATTCTAAGAGAATGACTACTACCCATTAGTGGCTGAATAGCTTCAAACACTAAAGCTAAATATTTAAATGAAGCTTTTTTTTATTGAAACTAAGAAAGTGAAGTTTTTTTTTTATTGAAGTTAAAGAAGAAAGGGTAAATGTGAGAAAGAAAATTTATAAGAAAATTAATAAGTGGATATTATAAATTAAAAAAAATTAGTTTTATATATATAAAAAATAATGGTTGAAAATCATTGAATACATATTATTCTTAGTTAGATTGGGAATGAAAGAAATAGTTGAGAATTAATATTAAGAGAATTGGGAAGTGATAAAAAATTGATATTTGTTAATCAAATAATTAGGAAAGTGAGAGAATATGTCATTTAATTAATTATTTTGATTTTTACATGTTTTTAATTAAAAATGAGATAAATAATGAAAAAATCATAAAAATGTGAAAGTGAGAGAAAATAGATATTTCTTAAGCATAAGAAAAAAAAAGTAGATATTTAATTGATTATCTTAATTTTTATATATTTTGAATGTAATTAATTATATTATTATTATAAAATTGTAAACCTATTAGAATTTAAAGTCCTTGTTTTGGTGGCTTTACGCGGCTGACAACGCCTACAACATAATTGAAACAAAAGCTTTTGCTTTCTCTGCATTTCAATTATATGTAGATCACTTGTGGTTCAAGGAAACCCTAAAACCCTGAGCTTTTTAGGATACCTAACCACTTCATTTGCCCAGTTATTTTATCTACGTAGGTGATCCTATTTTCTACAATCTGTCTCTGGTAAGTGAGAAAAGGGAATTAATGGGAGGCCTGTGCTTTCCCTGTGTTGTCGTGAAGACAACAAATATGAATTCCTTTCTTTTAACACTCTTGTTTGATCTCCTAACTCGTTTCGCATTCATGTTAGAAGAGGCACTTGTTCACCTGGGTCTGCTCAACCCAACAGAAGAAGCTCATTCTGCCGATCCATATCCCACAAACTATGTACTTTCAATGGACAACCGATCTCCTTCCGTCCTTCCTGCAGCCCCAGTCCAAGTCGAGACAACATTGATTAAAAACAGCGCCCCGCTGGTCGTGAAATATGGCAATTCCATCCGAAGATCCGAAGTGGAAGATCATGGTGATGAAGATGATGTCATATGCGCTGTATGCTTGAATTATATAGAGAAAAGGGACGAGATCAGAGAGCTTAGCAACTGTTCTCACTTGTTTCATAGAGAGTGTCTGGATACATGGGTTAACAAAGATCAGGTTACTTGTCCTCTCTGCCGTTCCACACTGTAGCAGATTCAATGGGTCATGTAGACTTGCTTATGAGTTTTGAAATTGTAAATGTTTATGTGATGGAAGCAAATTCATAAATTAAAGGGTTGTTTCTATGTGTCTTTTACCATTTATTTGTTTATTACTAGTGGGAATTAATTTATCTGTTTTTTTCTAGGTAATTAGTATATTCAAATGTTTTTTTTTTAATTTTTTCGTGAAGTAAATCAATGTGTGGATTGGATGGCCACTCATCATAAGAATTTTCCCTTAAAATTATATATTATGAATTCTCCACCATCTAGTTTTAGTACAATTTTATAGTATAAGTGTTTCTTGATTTAAAATGATGTATTGAGTTTTTTTATTTTTTTACTATATATAAAAAAATTAATAAGGAAAAAAACAAAGAAATGGAATCTAAACTTCAGAATGAAAATCTCCCGGCCCCAATAAATGTCCCTTTTCCTTCCCTTTCTACGATATTATGTCATGCATCTTCTCTTTGGTAATGACACTATGACTTATTTGGTTTCAAAACTTATTGTTTCTCATTCATTAATTTTTTATCTTTTTTTCTCTCTCTCATATGTCCTCTTTCTCTCTTAGAAAACTCTTTTTTTTTAATTAGAATTCTCATTTCTTTAAAGAAAATGAACAAAGAAATGACGCGGTCAAATTACAAACAAAACCAAAAGACTTGCTTTGGCATTGCTCCAAAAGAGTAGATTTTGGAGTTGTCTAGGAAATTCAGTTCAGTTTCGTATTAGATTAGTAGCGTGGACATGTTCTTTCATTAATTTATGCATCTCTTTTGAGGGAGTCTAATTAAGCTTTCTCGTCTGTGTATGAATTCATTCATGCAATGTCAAGATAATTCTATGCCCACATTTTTCTCCGTCGTTCTTCTGGTTTGTTGCTTGTGCCTTCAATGCTGTTATACCTAGGAAAAACCTGGTTAATTTTCCTTTATCAGATTATAGATGAACCAAAGTTAAGATCAAAGCCAGAATAATAATCTTGAATAAAATTCTTTTTTTGAATATCATCTTAATAATATCACTCAAACAAAATTTTGAATCCATCCTTATCCACAAGGTCAATAAGATGCTACCAAATCAAGGCAAAAATCAAATCTAATTACTCCTCCAATGAGTTGTTGGTCGTATTCCCACAGTGGAGCCATATATTTAATAGAAAGTTTCCAGTGGCTTTTCTTTGTGTACAGCGGCTGCTGTTCATTTGATTCCGCGAACTATTAGACTTTCTTTACTTTGAAAACGACCATACGCCTTCTTTTCATTCTTGCTTGTTGCTTTGCACCAACGGAAAGACGTTAGTATAAAGATATACAATTCGCTGGCACAATATTGAATTGCCCTCAACTTTATTGAGGCAATATTATTTAATATGCCCGAGTGGTGCCCCGTTTTGAGTGTCTTTTTCTTATAAAAACTAATTTTAAATTATATAATATTATAAATAAAAATAATAATAGCCAAAAAGAGTAATTTTAAATTTAAAAAAATTATAAATAATAGTAATAACAATAAATTAAAAATAATTATTTTAAAATATCAATAATTTTAAGAATATTTTCCCATGTTTTACTAAGCAAAATTTTTTTAAAGTAATTTTTAATTTTTAAAAACATTTGATTTTTTATATCTTAATATATGTTAAAATTAATATAATCATATTTTGTTAATTACGATAATTAATAGGGAAATAAAATTAAAAGTAAGAAAATTTAATATATTAAAAGTTATTATTCATAAGCTACATAATTTATATGGGTAGCTAAATAAATAAAAAAAGTTACATAATTTATTCAATAAAATTATTAAAATAAAATGACCCTAGCAACCAACTGGTTTCTCTAAACCCTCTCTCCCTTACTCGACACCCGGTGCCATTCCCTTCGCCTGCCTAGACATTTACGAGAGCGACTCCCTCTTTCTTTTCTTTTCCTCTTTTCTTCTCTTCCCCTTCCTTCCACCACCAATTTCCTCTCTTTCTTGCAAAAACTTAGCCACCATTCTTCACAAAGTGCAAGGTCTCCTCCACTCCAAAAACTGTATAAATACCTCAAAGTCTATACTATCCGTATCATCCGTCTCTCTCTAATAAAAAAAACATTTTTTTTTGTTTCTCTAATTATCCATTGAATAAGGTAATTTTAATTCAATAATTCTCATTTAATTTTAGTTTTGTTTGTATTCATTATGCATTCATGTTTTTGTCTTCTGCAATAAGTGACATGAAAAATAAATAATCTTTACTAAATTGAATCTGGAAATATTGATTTATTTTGTATTTAATGTGTTATTTTTGATCTGGGTGTTTTTATTCTTCCAAAGGTGTTAGATTAAGTTTTAATGGACTGTGATTTTTATGGATTAGATAGATTCCAGCTTCACAGGTCGCTGAAGACTCTGTTTTCTTTCTTTTTTTTTTGTTGGAATGGTTTTTACGCTGCTTCTTTACTTGTTGATGTTTTCTAGAGTAAGACTTTTTTTTGAGTGGGTTTTACTTTGCCTTCTTGCTTGTTGATGTTTTGTAGACTAAGACTTTTAGAGTAAGATTTTTTTTTGAGTGGTTTTTACTTTGCTTTCTTGCTTGCTGATGTTTTCTAGAGCAAGACTCAATTAAATGATAGCTACAGCACGCATTAGTTTTAGATGTCGTATAATGAAAATACCACACATGCATTGACAAATCAAATAATACCAAACATATACTGGACAAATGTCATCCAAAAAGAGTCTCAACGTGGGCTTGCTTTTAAGTATGTTATAGATAGTTAAGTGCATCATTAGATTGAAAACATATGGAGTATACTGACAAAACAAAAAAAGCCATCGCTGCCTCCTCAGCCATTTTGTTTCTTTAACTGGCCAACTAACACTTCTGGAAACATAAATAACCACTTCGATTATTTCAGCCCTTCTACCTGCTCCTTGTTTTCTCCGATCTCTGTCTCGGAAGGCAAAGCGCTTTTCGCGTCTTACCATGGAGATGAAAAAATGCACTGCCCCTACTATCTTCTTGCTAAACCTGGTCAACTACTTCAAGTTCTTGTTCAAAGAGGCATTCACTCATCTGGGTCTGCTCAAGCCACCACCAGAACTAGAAGAAGATTATTATTCTGCTACTTGTTGTAACGCTTATGTTCTAGTGATGGATGGTCGATCTCGCTCACTAGTTCCAGTACCAATCCAAGTTGTAACAGCGATGATTAAGAAGAGCCTACCGGTTCTTGAGTATGGCACCTTCATCGAAAGATTTGGAGATGATAAGCAAGTGGAGAACAATACGATTTGCACTGTGTGCTTGGATTCTATGGAGAAAAGTGAGGAGATCAGAGCGCTTTGCAAGTGTTGTCACGTGTTTCACAAGGAGTGCCTTGATACATGGGTAAATGAGGGTCAGGTTACATGTCCTTTGTGTAGATCCACGTTGTATCCAGACTGGATAGATTGGACGGCCAAGTTAGGTTCATGAATCATGTAGAATTTTTGTGTCAAACTTCTAATTATGCAATAGATATTAACTTTAGTGCTATGCTTATGGGTATATATTAAATATGGACGTGCTATTAACACGATGCGAAACTGATATAACCTATTTATCGCAAAAAATAATTCAGATAGTTAGAAAGAGGAAAAAACAAGGTACCAAAGTGATGTGTTTTCGATTCCTATTTTCCTTTAATCAAAGAACAAGATGCTCTGAAATCTCCTCAGCTGCACCGCATCTAAGAATCCCCTCCCCCTCCCTGTATCTCTCTCTCTGGATATATTCATTTCAGTAAAATATATAATAAAGATTCCTTCGTGCTAGCATTAAACCGTAGCCATCACAATTTCATTGAATACGTTCGAAAATTTGGATTACTAGCAAAGAATTCAAATTTTTACTAAGTCTATCATGTTAAGGTCACATATCGTTTCTTCAATCCCAAGAGTTAATTAAGTAAGTTAGGTTTTTTTAAAAATCCTCAATTTATAAGAAAATTAAAAATAAAACACAAAATGTATCATTATCTCTTTTATATTTTGAGAGAAGCCATGAATAATAGAGCTTCCAAGTGGGTGAGGAGGTTCAAGTGACATACTGTCATGGCTGGACCACTCTATGATATTTCCAACTAAGCAAGCGATAAAATTACAAGTTGAGGATATGTCAACAAGGCTACTCGTTTTGATGGGGGTTAAAGTGTATATCTATCATCTATCATCAATCATTAACGGTTTTTAAAGCAAACCTAGATAAACGTCGACTATGCTTTAATTAGTTTATAATATTGCAAACGTCTTCTCCAAGTACACTCCCATCTATCAGCAATTCTTGAGAATTAAGAAATAGATATAATAGATATTTATTCAACAGCTTGATTTTAACTTGATAGAAGACTCAAGAATGGTTTGAAGTACAATCGGAATTGAAAAATTCTAGAAGGAGGCTAATAAGTTGCTTGCAAATGGATGGATGCATGCCTGTTCTGCTGCAACCAATAGGCTTATAATTACTGACATAATGTCTTAGTCTTTTCTGGCTCGGCTTGATTGTTAAATGTTCATCATTGAATTGAATTGAATTAATTTCTCATCGTAATTGATTTTGCTTTGTTGTTTTGTTTTGGTTTCTAACGACCGTCGGCTATCCTGTACAATCCAGCAAGGCATTTCGGCATAGAACAAGAACAATAAGGTCAGTAAGCTTGTCTAGAACATGCTAATTGTCCTATGAATAATTTGAATGTAAGAAATGTTTAAATCGATAAGCTCCATGTTCAATTGCTCATGGTATGTTCTGCCACAAGAAGCTCTTTTCATAAAGTTGAAGCTGATTTGCTCAATTTTTATTTTTAGTAGCAACAGTTTCACTGGATGCCATCTTAAATCTTAAGTATCCACGTATGATTCAAACAAAATAGCTCGCACTGATATAGGACTTCGGACAATATGCTTGCTATCTGTCCAAATCAGGCTCCCAAATCTGTAATCACCATATACTCTCTTAGTCGAAAAGAAGGTTACTTTAAAGGGTAGAATTTGGGTGGTTTTGTTGAAGCTTAATATTTGGGGCTCTACTTTCACCTTTATGCCTTGTGGAGCTTGCATTATGGCTTTATACACTGAATCAACGGGTCCGACATTTGTTACCGTTCTCGTCACTGTTACTTTCCTTTTGAGGTTTGGAACGGTGATGGACGGAAGGTTGAGGTTCAGCACCTTAATTCTGCTTTTGGTGCAGTTGACTTGGGTCTGGGTTAAACCTGTGACTGCCTTGCTGCTGTAGCCAGTACCGCAAAGGAACTGGACATAATCCTCTGTTCCAGCGTCATAGATGAGCCCTGGATCAACTGCCTTGTTAGGATTTACAAGTCCACCACCTATATCAAATGGGTCTGCTGCCTTACGAGTTGAGCCCTCCTCTGCTATATTTGACCCATCTGTTCTTGTTTGGGAAGCTGCAGTTTTGCACTAATGGTCACACTTTTGGAGTCAAAAGATCCTGTGTTTTTAAAATAAACGAAAATTTAAAGATGGGAAGCAGAATTAATTGATTCACCCGTGGTGACTAGAGCTGATCTTATGGCGGCAGGAGACCAATTCTTATGGACAGATTTGATTAGAGCAGCTATGCCTGCAACATGGGGGCAAGACATGGAAGTTCCTGACATGAATTTATATCCACTGCCTTTTTCTTTCCCAACTGGTTTACATGCTGCTAGGATGTCCACGCCTGGTGCAGCAATGTCAGGCTATACCATGATTGACCAAGAAAAACATGGGGTTTAGGAGATAAAACTAAAATCTTACAATCAAAGAAGAATTGAGGGAAGGAACGACAAGGGTACAAACAAATTCTTGAAGTCGGTTATGAATTAAACGAGGGTCAAGAAAGTATTTCACTACATTGTGTCTAGAAATGATGATAGGAATTTATAGTTTGTTTCATATACCTTCAGCACTGCTGGGGATATTGAACTAGGTCCTCTGGCTGAGAAGTCTGCAACTCTAGGAGATACCCATTTCCCAATAACTGTCTTTGGAATACTTAGCTTGGCAATTGGAGACCTTAATTAAGAGATGGAAGAAGTTAAACAAATCTAAATGTTAAAATTTGGTTTTCACCTTGACTCATCTCTACCTTGCTTTTCTTATGTAGGAAAGTATCCGTGTCCCTACTTCATAATCTACTTTAATGCATGGTATATGCTGGCACGAGCCAAGCCCATCACTCCTATACTGTGCAAAAATAAGCCCAACCCCTCCTGCTTCCACCACAGAAACTGCCGCAGAAGGCATGTCCTGTGTACTTGATTGTGCAAAACAGAGTATGATTTTCCCTGCTGCTAACGTTGCATTGAGACTTCCTGGTTGGCAGTCCTGGCTGGAAGAAGTAATATATCACACAGGATGTAGGAAAAAAGAAATATAAATCTCATACAGCAACACCAAAAGAGAGGACTGACGCTGAATCATCACTGGAGTTTGCAGCAATGCGATCAGAGAATGTAATGCCAGTGAACCCATGGTTATGTATTCCAGTGTCAACGGATTGCCCCTGCGAGACACGAGATAATAACAACAAAAGGGCTCATAAAGGATTGCATTGTTTGACTAATCTACTGCTAATGACCATTTACCCAGAGAGTGAGGTTATTTCCAAGTGTAATGGCTGTTGCGAAGGCCCTGTCTACGGTAGTAGCTGCAACATTGATAATCCAGGGAGCAGTGTTCTCAACTGTCATTGCCGTCGGACCATCATTCCCTGCTGAGCAAGCTACGGTAATGCCTTTTGCCGTTGCATGGAAGGAACCGATTGCAATCGAGTTACGTTGATCCACATAGAAGTACAAAGGTATAGAATTGCCAACGGACACGGATAGGATATCTACTCCATCTTGTATGGCTTTGTCAAATGCTTTCAGAAGATCAGCATCAGTGCACCCTCCACGTTCAAATGCCCAACAAGCCTTATAAACTGCCAAGTGAGCTCGAGGAGCTCCTCCCCTGGCCAAACCTGCAGCTAGTCCATCATAATTTGCGTTTTCTACAAAATTACCAGCTGCTGTGGAAGCTGTATGGGTGCCATGCCCAGAATTATCTCTTGCCGATAGAAACTCCTCTCCATTACTTATATTAATGGGCGTTTGGATTTGAGCCAAGATTCCTTTGATGAACCAGCGAGCTCCAATAAGTTTCTTGTTGCAATTTGAGGAGTTGAACAGCTGTCCCTCTTGGCATATTCCTTTCCAACGAGATGGAATTGGACCCATGCCCCTATCCTTGAAACTCTCAGATTCTGGCCAGACTCCTGCAAGCACGTTTTCCAAATTTATCCAAGTTTAGGAGCCTTTGTTTTTTTTTTGTTTCAAGACTTCAATTAATGCAGAGGTTTATTACCTGAGTCTATTACACCAATTATGGTTCCTTCACCCATGTTGCTTTGAGTTAAAAGATTTTTTGAAGAATGATATTTTAGCCCCATGAATTCCCAGCTTCGGGTTGTATGAAGCCTGTGTATGCGATTAGGAATCACTTGGACAACACCAGGAAATGCTGCAATTTATAAGGGTAACTTTTTTCGTTTTAGCTGCTGTAAGAAAACAAAGCAGCCAATACAAACTGCCGCAAGAAATTTAAACACACCTGCAATTTCCTCTGCCTGAGATTCTGTCAACCTTGCTGCAAACCCAGAAAAGCCATGTTTATAGCTGTAAAGCATTGAATTTTTTGCTGCTTCCTTGCTGTAATACAAAGAAAATATTATTGATTTATCAATAAGAAAAAGAAGCAAATTCTTTCTTTTTCCGTTGAAATTTGAGAGTAATTATGATACCTTCCCAGCAAGGTGGACAGTATTTTGTGGTGAGACATTTTGGTTGTTGCTGGATCTTCATGCTTTTTCTCGCCCATGTACACAATATGCACCTGTGACATTGCATTTAAGTGCACCAGAATTGAAGTAGGTGAAAAAAAAAAACATTTGACCTGAAATTTTGAAGGTGCGTGCTTATACTTACGTTACTTTTGGCGGCCTCAACACACTTGGGCAAAAATTGAAGATGAGATTGAAGTGAAACAAGAGCAACAACGATAAGCAGGTTTAGTTTAGTATCCATCATACCGTTTTGCAGAAAGATGAAAGAGCTTTATCAGTTCCTTGGGATTTTCAGTTATTAGAATGTAAATTATTAGTAAGATTTAAGGTTGACAAGGTAGCCATCCCTGCATTCCTGAGCAAAGCTTCATCAACACAACAAGGGGCACATACTTTTCGACCACCTACAATCTTTATGCCTAATCAACGAAAAAGCAAGAATATATATGATCGTGGGTACTGATGGCTTAGAGGGGAAAGATGCCTGAGCAAGAATTCGCAGTGTAGAATATGAGGAACTGAGAATCGCGAATAACATGTGAGACATATCTTATTTGATCACTTTGCTGTAGTGTGAGACGTTATCATTTTTACATAGAAAGCTTTCCTGAAAGGTTGAAATGATCGCTTCATCTACCTTTTTTCTTTTATCTTTTCCTATTCGTCAA